TCTATAATAATATTTTTATTATTATAGATAGACTTATAAAATTTTCTTATTTTATACCTTATAGAGAATTAATTATAATTAAAGAATTTACTTATTTCTTTTATTTTTATATTATTAATATATATAATATATTACTTAAAATTATTATAGATAAAAAACTATTATTTATATTTAAGTTTTAATAAAGCCTTATTAAATACTTAGGGATTAATTATAAACTCTCTATTATATATTATAAAGAGATAAATAAATAAATAAAATATATAAATTAAATATTAAAATAATACCTCTAATATTATATTAATTATAAATAAATTAATTAAATTAAAAAGCTATTAGTTACTTAGCTAGCCTATAATATAGCTATAAATAAAAGCATAAAGATTATATTAGCTTATATTAACTTTAGATTTATATTAGATATATATTAATAATTATAAAATATTATTATTAATCCTAAGGTAATCCTTATTAATAATTAATTATATAACCTATATAAAGAAATATATATAAAACTTAAATTTATTAAGAATAAAACAATAAATTATATTAATAAAAAATAAATTAAGAGATTAATTTTCTTAGAGGGAAATATAATTTACCTTATAATAAAAAATATTAAAATAAAATAATAAAATAAAAAACTTAAATTTATTAATTAAATAAGAAAAATTATTATAGCGCATAGTAATAAGTTTAAGGCAAGAAGATAATTTTTTAATATAACTTAATATTATATTAATAGGAAGAATAATTATAAGTCTAAGTTACTTATAGTAATACTTAGTCTCTAAAGCTAGCCTTAGGGATAAGATTAATAGAGGGGGAGCCTTATATTATAGCTATAATATAATCAAAGGCGATAATACTAGGTAAGAAATTAGCCTTATTATAATAGCTAATTATAAGGAAGGAAGGTATATAAATTAAATAAAGTTAATTTAATTTCTCTTAATAATATAAATTAAATATTAATAACTTAACTTAATTTAATTATATTTAACTTAGAAGATTAAATAATATATAGAATATACTTATTATACTTTTTTATATATTAGCTACCTTAGCTATTAATATAACTTAGTTATACTTAATACCTCTAAGTATATTTTTAGATATAATATTATATTTTCCTTTAAGGCTATATAATATAATCTAGTATTAATATAAATTAATATAATTAGTTTATCCCTTAGGAATTACCCTCTTATTATAAAAAGAGTAAAGAGATTAAGTTATTATAGAGCTACTAAGAGGTAAATAATAAATTATAATAATCTTAATTCTTACCTTATTTTCTATATATATATTTCCCCTTATATAAGCTATATCCCTTTAATCCTCGTAGTTTAATTAGCTTCTAAGTAGCTAATTAGCTATATTCTTTAATTACTACTTTACTCTCTTAGGCTAAGGCCTTAGGCTTCTATTAGCCTCTATTAGTCTCTATGCCCTAATTAGCTATTTAGATATTTCTCGATTAGGAGGCTTATAATAAGAAGCTTTTATAGCTATATTTTATTTTACTACAAGGTAATAAGGAATATTAATTCTTTATTATTTAATAAGTAATTAATTTTAATATACTTAATAAGGTTATTTAGATATTACTTTTAATAATTAATAAAAGATTACTACTAAGGTATAAGAACTTTATTAAGCTTATATAGGTAATAATTAAAGATAACTAAATTAACTCTCTAGAGGTCTAATAAAGGCTATAAGACTATTAAGAGCTTTTTTAGCTCTAATAGCCTTATAAGGCTAATTTACTTAAAGAAATATAAGATATTCTTAAGCTTTAGCCCTAATAAGGTTAGCCTATTAAAAGGATATATTATTATAGTCTTATATTAAGTTATTTTAGAGCTAAGGTTATTAAAAGAAAGAATATATTATATAATTTATATAAGAGTTACTATCTTATATTATATTATTAATAATAATAACTTATTATTATTAAAATAAAAAGTAGATTAGCTATTTTTATTATTCTTAATAAGATAAGGTTTATTAAGGTAGAATATTAAGTATAAGAGTATCTATAGAGCTTATTTAATATTAATTCTTATATTAAAAGATATTAAGTATAATAGCTTAATTATATATAATTATATTTATTTAGCTAGGTTACTTTAATTTACCTTTTAGGTATATTATAAGATTAAATTACTTTTTAAGAAGAAAAAAATAAATAATTATATAATATAAGAAAAGATTTATATAACTTTTAGAAGATTTTATATAAAAATTACTCTTACTTTAGCTATAAAATTAGTATATTTTATAAAGAAGTAGGATTAATAATTTTTGTTTTAATGTTTTTTCTATTCTGCTATTTAAAGCCTAAGATCTTTAGTGATCTCATATTATACCGTAATCCTAAGCACCTTTTCCAACAGACGAATACAAGTAGGATAGTAAAACCTCTTATACTTGTGAAAGATCTTGCTAGCAAACTCTTTATCTAGACTTTGTAAACATTCGAAGCTAGAAGCAATTAGTATCTAAACCTGATCAATAGGAAGACTTTGACTTACAGCGGCCTGACAAACTTCATTCGTCCAGTTTCTCCGAGGAAAGCCTCGGTGACTTCAAAGAGACCTCGGTCTCCTGCCTTCAAGCCGACTCGTAAATATCGCGATAACACCTCAAAATTGGTCAACTTCCTTAGCCCATACAGAGTGCCAAGAAGCTGGGAAGAGTCCAAAGTGATGGGTGTTGGCGAGTCCAGAAGGGCGTCGAGAAACACGTTCAGCTGGCCAGCGCTCCAGCCATCAACATCGGTAGCAGATACCGAGGCATTTGAATCAGAAGTCATGTTGATCCACTTCTGTGCAAGGCTGAGGCATTCATCGTACTCTGGAGAGTGAAAATCGGGCTTCTGGGGCAAGCCAGGCTTGTGGTACCATTCATCCCAGTTGATGGAGTTGAGGGCTTCCGTTGCGGTAGCATCCTGAGAGAAAAACTCCAAAAGCGTAGTTTTGAACGTGTCTGAGTCAAGTGTTGCCCTTGAGAATTTTCCGAAATACTGCATCTCATTAGTTCTCTGTATTCAGTCAATGGAGAGAACGATGGTTGAACTCACATGTGGGATGAAAGGCATCCACTTCTCGCGTCCAACCAACTTCTCCAAAAAGCACAGAAACGTATATCCCTTCTCATACGAAATCTTGGACATGACATCATCTGGTCGCTTGCCCTGTAGGTCCAAGACCAAGCTTGTCTCTGGGCTCTCGCTGCCTCCGTACGACTCGATGCCATAGACGAGCTCGTTCCAGCCGACAATTGCCTCAAATACGGCTGCCTTCTCGCCCTTGATCTGGCGGAGAATCTCGCGCTCGGCGTAAACGGTCCAACCTTCATTCAACCAGAAATGCTCCCACGAGGAGTTTGTAACCAGGTTGCCGCTAAAATTGTGCGCAAACTCGTGCGCGACGACGGAGATGTTCTCTCGGTCGCCAGAAATGACAGTCGCGCTGTAGAAGTTGAAGACGGGGTTTTCCATTCCGCCGAGATGGAAGGATTTGGGGAGGATGACGAGGTTGTATAAAGGCCAGGGGTTCGTGAAAATGAGGTTCTTTGTCACGCAGCTGCGTTAGCCATCTCTGTTATATCAAGATCAAAGGGGGTTACTGTGATCCTACCTCGGCAGCGTCAATAATTGCGTCAATATCGGGTTGAAGCTCAGCCACAGCTGCTTCTAAGCTCGATGGCGCGGAGTACAGATAGCTCATCTTGCCAATCTTTGCTCCCGATAGGTTGCTGAGAAGGCGGTGTCAGCGGCGAGAATAGCTTCTAGGTTTGAAAACAACCTACCCGCTAGCGATGGCAAACAGGTAATTAGAGGTGGGAACATCTTGCTGAAACTTGTACTCTTTCGTCTCCTCCATGTTGGAAACAGCAGGAAACAGAAGGTCATGTTGAGGGATACCACTTGCGACAACCGGCAATGGGGACGAGATGGCTATGTCAAATGTCGTCTTGACGGAAGGAGTGTCTTGACAAGGGAAAATGGAGCGTGCGTGGACGGGCTCTCCCTGAGAAACTAGAGACTATAAGCCATGCTCTACATGATCATGATGTAAGGGGGACTAACAGAGGAAGGGGTACAGCTTGTCATCTGTCTGCTCGGGACTGAACCATTGGAGGCCGGTGCATTGGTTGGTAGTCTCAAAGTGAATCTGTTGCGTTGTGAGCCGACATCGTGTATTTCACAATCTCCGCCTCAGCAAACATACCTCAAGCTCCAAAATCTCACCCTTGGCGTAGCTGCGACCAAGCTGCACAGTGAGTGGGCGGCCATTTTGGTCTGTGGCTTGGCCCAGCTGCCATTGGACTTGTTCCCCACCCACACTTAGGCTGAGGATGTTGAGGTAACTGGTGTCGAGAATGACAGTATCGAGGCCCTCTGGTTTGAGGGGCTCCAGGGTAAGAATCGCGCTTCCCGTCAAGATCTTTTGATCGAATTCGACGGCTAGTTTCAACTGAGTATGCTTGGTGACCACATCGTGGAAATTGGAGTTGGTGTTGACGTCGTGGGCGTGGAATTGACACATGGTGGAGGACAGGTGGTTCGTGATTTGCAAGGTCAACCTATGACTTGTGGCGGTGTCGTAGAAGTAACCATGAGTTGACAAGATATACTCAGACTCGCCTTGAATCGGAGCACGATTCTCTCGTGAGACAGCAATTACAAACTAAAAGACGCAAGTCAGCGTCAATCAAAAATCGCCTGACTGAGTTAGATCAAAACCCCGCGTTCTCGTCGTTCTTTTTCACCGCTTGAGGAAATTCTCGACAAACCTTGACCTGGAACCCCGGTGACAGGAGACACTAGCCGGCTCCAGTTTAGTTCATGCCGAGAGATAAGAACACAGCTTCTCTCTTATCGTCGAGGAAGAGCAAGGGGCAACGAACTTCACTAGTTCCAATAACCAGAGATAATCGAGACGACGCGATCGCGTGGTTGAATCATGGGGTCGAGTACGAAGAGGCATCGACGATATAACAAGTGCTTCAGTCAACTTGGATCGACTAGTCAAGAACCAAGTCGATAGCCTCCGCCGGCTAGTAAGCAGTTCCAGCCTCACGATTCTCCAACACATTCCATCATGGAGCCGACCAAGATGGCGACTGTTGACAGTGTCAATGACAAAGTCTCTCCAGACGAAGGCGACGGAAGTCATTCGATTGCCATGCCAGGAGAGGTTCTTCTGACGGAGGAAGACTTGTTCGTGCCTTTTCCCATCGATGAAACACTCGAGAGTCTCGAGACGGGTCGCAGCATCCTCCGAACTCGCAGTGTCTTTGTGGGTGTCCTCCTAGGAGGAATCGTCAACGCAGCCAATGTTTACCTCGGTATGTTCATGAAACCTTACAAGGCTTAGGAAATCCTTAGGAAATCCTAAGGAAATCCTACTAACGTATTCTGTTCAATCCTTAGGCCTTCGGATGGGCATAACTTTTCCCGCAAACCTCTTCGGCGCCATCGTCGGCTTTGCCGTCGTCAAGACCTTGAGTAAAGCCTTCTCAGAGTCTTTCCCGATTCTTGGAGGAGCCTTTGGACCGAAAGAAAATGCAATCATTCAGACAAGTGCCACGGCTGCCGGTGGTCTCAGCACTGTCTTTACCAGTGCCATCCCGGCTCTGTACCAGATGGACCTCCTGCACACTCCAACAGCGGATTATGGAAGAATCGTTCTCTTCACTCTGGGTCTTGCTTACGTAGGATTCTTCTTTGCTACACCGTGTAAGTTAGGACCCTTATCTGCCTCTGGTATCTAGGAACTGACCCAATGGCACAGTCAGGAAACTCTTCATTATTCAGTTATGCAGAGCTCTCAACCTTGTTTTCCCTACCGCAACTGCCACGGCCACAACGATCCAATCCATTCATATCGCAGCTGCTGGCGAAACCGCAGCGATGAAAAAGGTCAAGATGCTCGGCATTGCGTTTATAGCAGCTCTAGTCCTGAGAGTCGCTTCCAACTTTGCCCCTGGCATTCTTTGGGACTGGCACATCTTCACATGGTTCTTCATCTGGGGTGGCCATAACAACGGGGCCATCTTTGTTGAGAATTGGGGTTGGTTTCTTGAATGGACACCTGCCATTATCGGCTCTGGCATGATGGTCGGCACCAACACGGCCGCGTCCATGTTTGCCGGCGCTGTCATTAGCTGGGGCATAATTGGGCCTGTTCTGGTTCGAACCGGAGTGGCTAGCGGTGTCAAGATCATGGGCCCTGACTACACGGGTCCGTGGGAAGAGTTGACGACTTATATGAGCATGAACCTGGAAGACCCTGTCAACAAGCCTAGTCCGCGGTACTGGCTTCTTTGGCCGTAAGTTCCTTATTGTTGCCCACCTTCTATTGTCACATTCTTACACCAATCTAGTGGAGTTCTTCTTATGGTAGCGGTTTCGATCGTCGAGGTACTCTGTCAGTACCGGCTCCTCTCTATCGCCGCCAAGGTCCTGGCTCACAGAGTATGCGCCTCCTTCTGCTCCGCCTGTCAGGCCATTGGCATCAAAGCCACATGGATTGAACGCTATTCCGAATCCTACGACGATAGATCTGAAGGCGCAGCAGACGAGTCACAGGCTATCAAGCCGTGGATGTGGATCAGTGGCCTGGTTGTGTCGATTATTGTAACCTGCCTCAGTTGTGGCTTACAATGGGGAATGCCCTTGTCAATGACCATCGTTTCCATCATCATGGCCGTCATTCTGACCGTCTTGGCCATTTTGAGCACCGGAATGACGGACATGACCCCTCTTACCGCCATCGCGAAGTCTTCTCAGCTGGTCCTCGGAGGCATGACTCGTGGAGATAGCTGGACTCTAGCTAAGGCTCAGACTCTCAACTCTCTGGGTGGTGCCGTTGCAGCTGGTGTAGCGAACCAGGCGACTGACCTGACGGCCGATTTCAGAGTTGGGTTAGTAGTCATGATGATCCCACAGACCGGCACGAGGCTAACTGTTTGGTAGATTCCTTCTCAGAACCCCCCCTCGAGCACAGTGGATAGCTCAGCTGCTTGGTAGCGGTGTTGCCATCTTCCTGGCACCGGCCATTTTCCTGGTCTTTGCATCGGCCTACCCTTGCATTCTGGATATCACAGCTGAGACCTGCGCTTTCTCAGCCCCATCTGTATCTGCTTGGAGAGCAGCCACCATCGCAGCAACAAGCCCGACCCTTCCCATCCCCAAATCATCTGGCATCTTTGCCATCTGCATCACTGTTGTTGGCTGCTTGGTAACCATCATAAAGCACTTTTATCTGGTGAAGGAACGACAGAAGTACCGTCTCTATCTGCCAAACTTTATGACGCTTGGTCTGATGATGGTTATCCCACAACCTTGTATTGGAACAGCTATGATGATTGGAGCTATCATCGCGCTGCTTTGGAAGAGATTCCGCCCGGCTAGCTATAGTGGGTCCCAAAAAGTAATAACATAACCCGGGTTTCCCTACTATATTAATACTACCACTAAATAAGATTATATCTTTAGCGCCTTATTATATAGCTAAATAAAGGCTAATTATATCTTATTATATATTAATCTATAGATAATTAAGAGCTATATCTTCTAATATATCTAATACTTAGTATATTAGCTATAGGTATATATAATAGCTTATATTCTTTGCTTTATTAAGTAAATAAGGTTCTTAATAACTTCTAGCTTAATCTCTTCCTATAGCTTAACTATAGCTATAATTAGAGCTTATTTTAACTCTTTAGTCTTAGGTATATATATAAGCTCTAGGTATTACTTATAGATCCTCTCTTTAAGGATAACCTATAGGTTTTCTATAAGGTTAAGATCTAGGCTATAAGGTAATTAATTTACTACCTTAGTCCTTTAATTCTTATATTACTTATAGATCTAATCTCTAATAATATTAGCTATAAAGGTATTAATATTATTATATTAGAAGTAATTATTCCTTATTATAACCTAGGGAAGATATTACTATAAGTATATAAGAATAATCCTTATAGTTATTTCGCCGCGAGGGCTATTTAGATTACTGGCTAAGGGGATTATTAGAAGCTATCTATAAAGATTAAAGGTATTAAAGAATATCTATAAGTAATAAGTTAATATAATATAACGTATATGCATAGCAAGTGTCACAGACAAGCAAGTGTCACAGCATACTGTGCAGCTAAAAATCATAAACCTTAAATTTCTAAAAACTATTATAAAATAGCTATTAGCTAAAAAAGAGTATTTTTATAAATCTAACTAAAAAAGTCATGAGACTATAATTTTTCTAGATTTTTAAAAAATCCTTTTAATTTTTAAAAAATAAAAAACTAAAAAAAAACAGTGCGAATAAGAAATCTTTAAATAACTTACTTATAAACTTTTTAAAAAATCTAAAAGAATTACTAAGATAATTTAGATTTTTTAATAAACCTTATTTTATATTTTCAGCTTATAAGAATTTTAATTAGATTATTTAGAATTTTTTAAAGTAATTTTAAATTTAGGTGAGATTTACACTATAGGGTAAAAGTGTGACACTCGGTTGACTGTGACACTTGCTATACATGTACGTTAAGTCTAAATATTTACTTTAAAAAGTCTCTTATATTAAGGATAATTAAAAGAGTTATAATTATAAGAAAAAGATATACTAGCTTATAGAAGACTTATATATGCCGCTAGCCCTCCCCTTAGGTAATAATAACCTTATTAAAAAAGGTCTATTTCTCCTAAAAGTCCTTAGCTATATAAATATACCTCCGGGTAAACTATAAATACTTCTTAGTATTAGCCTTACTAAGGAAAAATCAAAGAAGGGACTTATAATATATAATACCTTCCTTTTAAAGGTATAAAATTAAAATTATATTATAATAGCTTAACCTAGCTTCCTTAATTAATTTATATATCTAAAGATAAGGGTCTTAGGTAATAACCCTTAAGATTCTCCTTCTTTCTTTATCTCTAATAATATATAGCCGGCTATATTTAGGTCGGTCTTAGGTACTCTCTTAGTCTCGATATTATTAGACTATATTATAAATTATATGCCGAGAAATACCCTTTTCCCGCGCGATCTAGGCGGCTAATACGCCCGAGTTATACCTCTAAATAATCCTCGTTCTTATATAAGAAGAATAATACTAAGTTAGGGCTATTTAGATATAAATTAATTATATAATAAATAATTAAAGTTAGTAATAAATTTAATAAAGGTCGAAGTAAGAGCGGGGTATAGGAAAATATATTATTACTTTTTGGGACCTATTGTATTATAACGGAAAGGTATTTCCCAAGGGATAAACCGGTCATATAGGTTTATATTAGCAGAGGAGAATATTATATAACCTTAAAAAGTAATATAATATTACGTCTAGTAATATACTTAAGGTATTAAGTATAACTAAGTTATATTAATAACTAGGGTAATTACTATATAAGAAAGTATAATAAGTATATTTTATATACTTATAATTAATCCTTAGACTAATATTCTCTAGGTTTAGTCTAAGGTAAGACTAATATTTTTAATATTTAGTCCTTAGATTAATATAGGCGAAGTTTAGTCCCTTTAGTCCCTTACTTAGTTAAAGTATTTCTATTATATTTCCCCGCCTAGCTTATATTATAGCTATAATATAAGGTTCTCCTTTTATTAGTCTTATCCCTAAGACTAGTTTTAATAACTAAGTATTATTAATAAGTAACTCTAATTTATAAAAATCTCTTTTTATTAATATAATATTAGGCTAAGTTTCTAAGTATATTTCCTTATAAAAACTTTTTAAAATATAAGGTCTTTCTATTTATATTAAGGCTTTTAGTTCTAAAATTATACCTTATATTTATTACTTTTACCGGGGCTTATCTTATAAGGTAATTTCTAATTATTCTAATTATTATTTTAATTATATTAATATAAAAAATAATATATAATAAAGCCGGTATAGCCTCCTTCTATAGGTATATATTAGTGCTTCCTTATAGCTATTAGCTAACCTTTTATAATTATAAAAAATATCTAAGAGTATAAGCGCCTAGAAGATAAAGAGGCTAAGGTAGAGGCTACCTTAGAGGAGGTAATAGCTAAGCTTACTTATATCTAGAAATAAAAGAGGTTACTTAAAGTATATAATAATAAGGCCTTTAAGCATAGCTTATATACCTTAGAGGAGTTAGGTAAGCTCCGCGAGGAATTATTTATTATTATAGAAGTATATTTTTTTAGGGCTATTAATTTAATTAATTAGAATACTATTAGTCTTAATAAGCCTATATTTAATATTATTAATAAAAGTTCTTTAAAAGGTATTATATATTAGTAAGGTATTCTAGGGGTTCTTATATATTTTCTAAGTTAAAGTAATCTTTTTATTTAATAAAATATATTATTTTATTATTAATTTTATTTATATTAAAGATAATCTCTATAATATATTTTTTTAGTCTATTAACTTTTATATTAGGCTTATTATTTATTTTTACTTAGATAATATTTTATATTAATTTAAGTAATAAAATATAAAAGATTAAATAAAGCTTAACCTTAGGTAATAAGTTTAATTTATAGTTATATCTTAAGATTTTTTATTTCATTTTATAAGGTCTAATATACTTATAGTTAAGTTTTTTATTTTATTATTTTATTTTAATATTTTTTATTACGAGGTAGGCTATATCTCCCTCTAAGAAGGTTAATCCCTTAATCTTTTTCTTATTAATATAATTTATTATTTTATTTTTAATAAATTTAAATTTTATTTATATTTCTTTATATAGATTATATAATTAATTATTAGTAAG